ACTCACCATGCTGTCAAACACAGGAAAAGACTCAGCCATCTGCTGCTCTTCTAACTCCACTAAATGTTCAACAACTACTGTTCGTCTCCCAGAGAGGCAGTTGTGAATTCTTTAGAGCTGCACCGTGCATTAGTTGATACATGATTGGCATAGATAAGATACCTCAAACTGACAGGAATGTGCCTGTAACCAGCTGCCGATTGACAGTTAGATGGGGAAAGTTAAAGCTGTGTGTGTTCGGATTGTGCTAGTGTTACACCGGCGGATTCTCTGACAAACTGCAGTTTGGAGTCAGGCATGGATGTAGTTGTGCTGTACCTCTGCATGTATTCATACTGACTGTTAGCAGGCTGCTACCTTAAAACTGTGGTACAGATTAGTCGTTAACAAACAACACATACTTGAGTTTTTTTTGTTGTTTTTTTTAAAAATAAAGTTATTTTAGCACTGTGGTGTATGGGAAGATGTTCTTTTTTCTGAACTTGTCTTTGTCATTGTTTGTTTATCCAAGTTGAGCCTTGAATCCATTATGAATTTGCAGCTTTTGTTTTCCTATAATAGATCTCTGGAAATGGGAAGTCAGCCGGTCTGAGGGATGATAAATGTAGAACAGAGCTAAATGTGATGAACGAAGTTGGCACTCGTGCTCGTGTTTCCCCTTCTGTATACAAAAATGAAGGGGATTCTCCACGCTCAGAGCAAAGAATGAAAAATCTACATCTTATCTTTGTTTACTGGATTTAAGTCATCTTATCTGGGGATTGACCATCGTTATCTAGTCAAAGGCTACAGTGGTTGGCCATCAAACTTGATCTTTATATTGAGTTTGGATGAAATGATGAGGGAGAAAAATTGGTTATTGTGCTTCAGTCTGCCAGCTGGATCGTTGAAGCCTTTGGAAGTGGGGCGTAAAACAAATGATTCTCAATTGCTGCCCCAAGGTTTCAGCGTACCAAATACATTCAACGAGAACAAAAGCCTCTGCCAAGTGATTAAATTGAGGTCTTTCTGGTTCATTTCACCATTAGCTGACACACAACTCCGAATGTTATTGGGCAATTAGAGGTAATGAAATGCTTCATAGTATTATGAAACACTGTCTAAGTTGGTTGCACCACTCCTATTTCTGATTCGGAAATACACATTAATGTACACGGCAAAGTACTAGCAGCTGGTTCTCAGTTTTCTAACAGCCTACACATTGTTTGACTCTGTGTTGTGTCCATTATTTTACTGCCTGTTGGCAAAGTATGGAGCTGTTAAACATGTATTTGAGTGCTCTCAAATGAATACACTTGGCTTTGGCTGAGCTTTTTCCCCCCAGTTTGTGAAAAGGCAGTATCTGTGGGATTGAAGAAACATTTTTTCGAAACACCTCTTCTTGGCAACTTCATTGTAATTTTCAAACGCACTCATGACCCAAAGCCGGCCGGCTTTTAACCACGCCCGTCAGGCTTGCCTGAGGTCATCTCCCGATCTCACAAAAGTTACAAATTAGCAACATTTCACCAGTGCAGGCTGCCATAATTAGTGAAAATGTATTTTTCTATTGGAGCACATTGATTTTTTTTTCAGTGTCACTACAGGCTTTGGCGCAATATTATCTTTCAGATAATTGATGACCCCATTTTCAAGAGGCATGTCTGAACATGTATGAACTCACTGCCACGAAACATATTGACAGACTGTCAAATCCTTGAGCAACTCAAGCTGTTGTTAAAGGTGAGTCACACAAGTGTGTCACCTCTGTGCTTTTCTGGCCTAATTGCTTTGTTCTATTGTATGATTAACTGGAGTTAACCTCATTTTCAGTGCACAAAAAAAGCACTCTATTAGAGTTCAGGCTAGTTTTCATTATAACCAAACATACAAAATATCTCAGCTCCAGGTTCAGTTGCATACTTAGACTTTCTTCTTTCTGTGTTTAAACTCATACAAGGTTTAATATTCAACAAATGAACAGACCAAAAAAGGAAAACACATCTGCAAAAATCACGTTCACACACTGAGACTCTGGCATTTAATCCCCTTCTCCAGATGTTTTAAAGATGTTGAAATGAAAAAAATGTGAAAATGTGAACTAATTTTCCTGCCTTTTACTTGCAAATGTTCTTTCTGATATTTCCACTTTATTCACACACATAGGTTAGTTAAAAATGTGCTGGATACCTTCTATAGTCAGACGTAAACATGATTATGACCGGCCACAAGAGCCTCTCCACCCTACTTTCCCTGCTCTCCTGCAACCATTAAGCTGAGGTCATAGTTTTAGGTCTGGTTTACGACCAAAAAGAAAGCTTTGCTCTATTCTAAAAATGTAGCCAGTGCTGAGTGCGAACATTTGTCTGGAATAAATCATCAGCACCAAGTTTCTGTGTATCACCAGTTGTCGAGAGAAAATTATTAATGTTTTAAATGAAATTGCGACGATGGCCCGTTTCTTCATTTTGTTGAATGATTATGAAATTAAATGGAGAGCAAGGTTAAATTATTTTTAGAAATGAGGCCCCTGAGATCATATCGTGCAAACGTGTTTGCAGTGTTGTCTGCACTCTGCTCCAGGGAGCCAACACTCACACACGTTTGTATGTCAACTGTTTGAGTTGGGCTCTTTTTTATTTTTCACAGCACACACACACTGCTGCGCTTGTAACACACCTGCATTTACCCACCTTAACAACTGCCAGCTGTGTGCTACCTTGAACTTTCGTCTCCTCTCGTTCGGGTCTTCCTGTTTGACAGGAAACGGCGGGTCGGCTGACCAGACAGCGGCTGCACACCTGCAGCCCTCGCTGCACCTTTATCCATGGAAACATGGGACTTGTTTTCACAGCAGCCAGTTATTCGTCCCCTCCCTTCTGTGTGTGTGGAGAGTCGGTCCGTGTGTGGAGGCTTTCTCGCTCGCCAAGCCACATGGTTTCCCCACATTTCATCACTTTCCTTCCCTCGTGGGCCACCGTGCCAACGGCTCTCTGTGGTGTGGGAAGGCTTCAAAAGTTCAGAACTCGTCAGATTTGGAGTCAGAGTTTTTGAATTTCCTCTGTCTCTCTCCTTGCTTCCCCAAACCCCCCCCCCTCCCTCCCTCCCTCCCTCCCCTCCCTGCCTCCCTCCCTCCCTCCCAACATCTATAAGCAATCTGAGAAGCGTCTCAGTTCAAACACAGAGCAGTCTGTACTCTGCTAATGTGACCGCAGTCGTCATAGCCCCCTCCAGGGACATGACCCCTTCTCAACTGCCCACTGAGGTTTGGCTCTGCAGACACAAAGCATGTTCCCATGATGCCATTACAGAGCGTGTGCGTATGCATCATCCCGGCTAAATGGTGGTCGTATGTCACCATGTAGTGTAAACGAACTGTCTTGGTGTCCAAAAGGTCTGAAGGCTTACAGCTGACCTCAGTTTTAAAACAGTCTTGTCTGCTGGGACTTCTTTTTCTTATGTTCCTCAGATGCAACACTGACCAAACCAATTAATTTAAAAGATGGAAAAAAAGAGAAAAACTTGACAACTTTCGCTACTCAAGAAAAAAAAAACATGGCTCGGAGGTTTGAATTGTCAGAAATAAGATTGGGCTTCCTGGTTTTTTTTTTTAAAAGGAAATAAATTTCCCCAGCCATACTGGAAATGTTTTGATGCTTGTTGGTAGTGCTTAATTACCTTTAACAAAGACCACATTTGAGCTGCCAAACCAGGGTGTGCGCTGAATATGAACAACTACTGCGTGGTGGGATTTTCCAGCTCCAGTTTCTTTTTTTGTTTTTGTTCGCATTTGGAGCAAACCCAATTTTAGTAACCTAATCATCAAAGGCAGACACTTTAGATACACCTGTTAGAGAGCTGTGAGACATCCGTGGCCAAACAGCTCAAACATGTGGCATAATGCGAGTCATTGTGAGAGCAGACCGTGCATAACCTCCCGTGACAGTTCAAAAGTGACCACCACCCCGTTGTGTCAGCGCATGTGTGGGGGCTGTGAGAGTGTAATGCTCAACGCTGGCATGGCGCACCCCTCCTGCTGTATGCCTATCTCCTCTCAGAACACAGGCTCCCTTTCTCTTCTGGCACTTTGCTGATTAAAGGCCGGGGGGCCCACAGTGTGTCGGTCTCCTGCACAGCACTTTTAACAAGGCCAGTGTTTACCAATTTCCTTCGTGACTCAGTGCACGCACAGGTCTTATTCGGTGAGTGGCTTGCACATACCGCGGCCGCCTGATGGTGTGAATTCAACCTCAGTGTGGGAGTGTAAAGATTCTCATGCGACAGCACGATAATCCATTACAAGAGTGTGTATAGTGGCCTTGAGGGCAACGTCAGTCCCCGCAGATCTGCTTGCATGGTATTTGAGCCTGGAGAACGGCATGAGAAGCAATCTTCAAATTACTCGGCCGCTCTTTAGCGGCTGACTTTCAGTTGCATCTTACACTTTCAAAGAATGTCAAGCTTCGCCGAGTGTGAACATGCGGAGGGGGCACACGGTGAATCAGAAAAAGCTGACGAGGGTGAAAAACACTTGAGGTTTGCACAGGCACCGGAGCATTCTTTCTTTTTTTTGGGGGGGGGGGGGGGGGGGGGGGAGCAGACAAACGGAGCGGCAGCAGCAACAGCCCTGACACATGGCCCACATTCACAGCCGCCTCCCACGTCACACTGCTCCTGAGAGAAAAAGCCCCTTTTGTTTCTCAAAGCAGGGAGGGAGGTCTCTGGGGTGAACCGTCGCTCCGCTCAACTCCACCACCCGCAAAAAAAAGAAAGAAAAAAACATAAAGAAAAAGCACCGGACTTCCCATCCCGGCCCTGTGTCCTCCCCTCGCTTCAGCACACAAACATAGGTCCATCAGTACCACTACTACTGCTGCCATGAGCTTATTCCACCGTCCAAAATAGGTCAGGCCACCCTGTTGCATTAAGGACATCACCTACAATTTCACTTTTTTTTTTTTTAAACAAAAATTGTCTCAATTTAATGTAAAAAGTTCTTTTTAAAAAAGGGAAAATATCATGAAAATATCAAAATAATCTTCAAAGTCTAAGTTTGGACATTTTTTATCCTTCAACCACTTTGCACAAAAATTCTTTCATTGTTTAAAATATTTTTTTTAATGTGGTTAGACAGCATGTCAAACCTTGTGCCATTCACGGGAATTTCGGCCAGCTGCAGAATTTCTTCACTCCCTTTCCCTCATCTTTTATTAGTCTTACTAAGTGATGCAGCTGCATTGAAAATCTGCTTTGCTCTGCTTTATGGCACGTGACATAAACCAGGGCTGGCACCCCTGATTTCATCAGAGGACATGAATAATGTCATCACAAGGAGCACCTTTAAAAACTGCATTTATTTGTATAGAAATTATGCACATGTTTTACATAACTTTGTTACAAATTGTAAAAAGAAAGACTATTAACGCTATTAGCATCTCAAAGCTTCTTTCAGACATTCAGGAGCACTGATCTCTGAGTTACGCCTGAATTGCTGAGTGAAAGTTAAGCTCTTCAGTACACTTTATAGAAGTTGTGTGCGTGCATCTTGTTGCTCAGTAAGAGTGAACAGGGATTTACTAACAGTAGCTTTAGAAGTGGTGTCCATTTCCCTCCATCATGTACCTATGTGCTAGTGAAGAACGTCAGAGAAAGAGACTTTTTTCTAGTTTAGAGAATTTATACAAGCCCGCTGTGAATTCTCTCCAAACAAAGCACAATTAGGCTAATCAGGGTTAAAAGAAATGTTATAGAACCCTCCCAGCTCTGACTTAACAATAACAAAGAATATCTTAGAACCTAAGGTGTATGTCCACTCAGATCTGTCCTCCCTGACTTCCTTTTTCTCCTGAGACCCAGTAGAGAAACCAAACAATGTGTGGGGGAGTCACTTCCGACAACACAGTCCCCAAACATGTGCATTTAGCACACAAAGCTTCTTTTCAGTATCTCCTCCCAAAAAAACAAAAAAAAACTTAAGACGCTGCATTAGCGTCCAGCTCACTTTGTCCTTAAGACTACCGGTGCTGTTTGCTGTACCACCTGGTGATAAAACCCCGAGTCCTCTGAATGAGCCCCCCCCCTCGCCAAGGAGGAAAACACCTCAGATCAGTTTCTCTCAATTTGCTCAATGTCGAGCTCACCTCCGAGCTGATACACGTCCCTCCTCATGCTACACAGCCCCACCCACAGAGGCTCGCCGTCCTTCCCGCCGGTCAGCGGCGGGGTCAGATCCCCTGCGTAGTTCCACTCTGCCTCCTCCGCGGCGGCGGCGGAGGACGCCTGCCTGGGGAGATCGGCCTCGCTGGGCCGGGGCTGGACGTCCTCTAAACTGTGTTGCCTGGCAGCCGAGTGGTCAGTGCCGATGGGGGTGGTCGCCCTGAGAGTGCTGCGGTCCTGGCTCGACTCGCCCACGTCCTCCCCTGTGATCCCAGGGCAACTGAGGCTGTGGAAATTCCGAAGTTTCTGTGAAGACAACAGATTGTGTTTTTAGTTTTAAAAACATTATAAAGTTATTTCTACTTTTTTTTTTTTATTAAATTTTTTTAATAAAGCTTAGACAGTCATTGTTAAGTATCAAATTCTCAATGGTGACAGCATGTTTATATTAAACCTTTCCTTGAGCATGCACCGTTACCAAAATCTTAACTTAAAGACAGTAATCATACAGTAAGTGGGGGGCTGCTGAGGTCAAATGGACACTGGGCATGACCACCAAAACCTAAAACTGCAACAGGATTTGAGGGCGCGTGAACTGAGCTGCATTCATGCTGCAGGAAGAGTGATGCTTCGAGACTCTGCGGTCCAATGGGAACCCTGGCAGCAAGTGGCCAGCAACCCAGAGGGCACGCGTCACTCATGTTGGCCTTTTGACTCTGCCGGCCTTTCTGTGGCCCTCAACAATGCACACATACATCTGGGAAATCCAGAAACTTCTTGGGGCGAACGCACATGTGGCACCACTGCTGCGGGCGATTCCTCTCCTGACAGCTGGGCGAGCTGGAATGAGGAGCTTTACGAGCGAGGCTTATCCAATCTGTGCGGCTAATGTAGAGAAGGCAGGACAGCTGCCTCATGCCTCACCGATCGGGGCAGGAGGGACACCAGAGAATAGGACCTCTGTGAAGCCTCCCGTCATTTGGGAGCTTATGTAATGCTTAACAGGCATGGGACTGTTAGAGATGCAGCTCACAGCCAAGTTTGAGAACTGTGTCTGCAGCTAATCAATAGATTAAAGTGGATTTTACAAGACTGTAGAAAATAGAACTGCTTAAAGTACATCTCAAGTTTCACAAGTTTCTCAAGATCAGAGGCGCCCAACAGCACTTCTGGCTTCTTTATAATCAGGAGGTGCAGAGGAGTTAGGAAATCCTAACCCCACAGATGATGAGCCAACAGATGCCGTTTCTGCCTGATAGATTTATAACAACAATTAGTAGCTAGTCAAATGCCAGCTCTGTTTAAAAGACCCCCCCCAAGAAGGACACAAGGGTGAGCTGCAGCAACCGGCCAATCATGTTCGAAAGAGAAAGAAGAAAAACTTTTCATTTTGAAGCGCAGAGGTTGAGGCTGGTGTTGTATGTGCACCCATCTGTTTCACTTCTGCAATTACGCATTTTACTACAACAGCGTTCAAGGATTATAACTGTTTCTTTTTTTTAAAGAAAACATGCCGAAGAAATTTGAGAAATTTGAGAACAATGTCTTCAAATGACTGAGGTTTAACTGGGCTAGTGTTTGCTTTATGGTTGTTGGTTGTCTTCCTTCAACAAACACCCGTGAGAGCCAAAATTTATGTGGCTGTAAATGTTACTGTTTCGGCTGGTCGGGCATCTCTTGACTTTTGTCACCTGGCGTGCAATGCACACGGTGTGCTTTTGCAAAAACAGGAAGAGCTGGAGGGAAGAATACACAACCAGGTCAGCCTCTGCAGATATCTGTGCAACCCACCGACAGCCGAGAGGACGCGACTACTACACACACCTACGAGACACAGAGACTAAACGGTCGCTTTCTATTGATTCTTTGTTGCCTCCGGAGAGATTTTAGGTTCAATTGTAAACCAGAAGTGTGACAACAGAGACCAAAGTGGCTGAGTCAGGACTACGTGCTGGTGAAACTGTGAAGTTGGGATCCAAGTCTCTCTAAACAGCAGTGAGAAAAAGTCTTTGCACTGGGCAGCCGGGGATCAAAGGGAGCCCCGCTGTTTTTCTTGGCTCGGTCAAGCGGGGACATTTGTCAGCGGCCTGTAAGTGTCAGATTGCCGCCTTCGGCGTTAGCACTTCGGCCTCTGCGGGCAGACTTTTGTCCCCCCTCCACCGGACCGGACCGATAAGGCCGTAAGCAGTGTGGACAGCGGGGGAGCGGTGGCTTCCATATCAACAAAACAACGTACAGCCAGAAGGAGCTGGCTCGCAGGGAGAGAGAGAGATTTATGGGCCGAGGAAACTCTCTCTCAGAGCGCGTCCCAACACAGTCCAACCCAGCATTACTGCGACCAGGCAGAAGAACCCCCTCAGCCACGATGACCTTGAATCTCCATCCATAAAAATCTGATCAATAGCTCACGAGGCCCGGTTGTGGCGGCGATCCACCCTACTGAGCTGAATTTACAGAAATCAATATCTCTTTATCCAACACACACACACACGGCCCCGCCTTCCTTTCAGGCACAGTCTAGAAGCGCTGCTACAGCTGCTCCACTTCCTGACACACACACAGCGAGCCGCGTACGGGATCGCCGTTTCTCCCGAGTAAATTAAACCAACGCAGGCGAGTGGAAGAGAGGACGCTTTCATCTCAGCATCATGACAGAGCAAAAAGCGGATTTCATGTTATAAAGCGACCCTACTAACACAATTAGTCTGTTGCTAATTAGTAGACTTCCGAAAAAGTCAGTAAATAAAGAGTAAACACAGGCTCTATTCTTTCTACCTCTGCTGACAGCCAATGTCCTTCCTCAAAGAAAAACACAGAACAATACATGAGCGGCAGGAAAGGCCCGCCGCTAACACGCAGAGCTCCCTGACACCGCTCTGTGAAAACATTGTTGGTTGCCTGGCCTGAGGCCGTTTTCTCCACGCTGACCTCGTCTCCGTTTGAAGCCCGCGTGGCGTCCGCTTGTCCTGTCACAGCAGCGCGTCTGTTGAGACGCGGCTGACCCCTGGGCGACTTCCTCGGAGGGGCCGAGGCCAGCTCTGTGTTTATGCCCTACTACTATACGTGTGCCTGAGTGATGCACACGTTAAACCGGCCGTCTGCCCGAAACACGGTCAACCTCACCTAATTTATTGTTTGACACACTGACCGTCCTGACAATCGCTTTCATTACACAACCTTTCCCCAAACGAGGCATCAAAAGAGAACGTGCTTTTCTGCGTTTTCTGGTGTGCAAATACACACCCACGTAATGGAATGTGGCCCTGAGCGGAACGAACGATTGCTTCTAACGACAATGCCTGCAGAAAGCCTCTGAGGTGTGCTGGGGGAGAATGGACACAATGCGGTGACCTTTGCTGGAAGTGTTTGTTTTGCACAACATCAGAGGCGAAAATTGCCCCAACAAGCAAATGTTACAGAGACTGATGGACCTAGCAGAGCCCCCAGCTGTAATGGCCATTTCCTGGACAGTCGTCATCTGAAGCCCAGCAGGCGGCCGTGGTGAGTTCAACCAGGAGATGTTTTAGGCTGTGGCAAAACAACAGGACGAATGGAGTGCTTTTAAATGCACTAATGAGGGGCCGCTTTTCCACCATTGAATGAATGACACTGGGAAATATGAGCATTCAGATTTGAAATTAATTTAAAACTAATGAAAAGAGGCGTTTCTGATGTAATGTGTTATTACAAAACGGCACGTTGCAGAACACCAACCTGGGTCATCTTTGCCAGATCCAGTGAAGGCCTCTGTTTTTGGGAGTCGGCTGGCCTCCTTCGCTTCACGCCGATCTTCTTGTCGTTGAGGACGCAGGGCTGAGAGCGGCACCGGGCCAGACCGCCCTGCCCGCCGCGGCGCTCCAGTTCCGGGGTGGAGTCCGGCGAGCTGGGCGGCGAGGGCGCCGGAGGCTCGGCGAGGCAGATTTGTTCGTGAGAGAGGTAGAGGGGCTGGGCCGCCGGCTCGCCGGGCAGGGGCATGGAGGAGGCGGAGGTGAGGCCCGCGAAGGCTGAGGGCCACGGCGGGCGCTGGGCGGAGCCGGGCGGCTCCGGGGGGTCGGAGCGGGCCGGCAGGCTGAAGCTGGAGCTGCGCTGCATGGCCGGGAAGCCCAGCTGCCCGTTCCCGCCGCCGCCGCGCTGGACGCTGCCCCCGCTGAGGCACCTCCTCTTCTCCACCGCCGTCCACACGCGGGAGCCCTGCGGGCGCCAGGTGGAGCGGCAGCTGCTGAGCTCGTCCGAGCAGGACAGAGAGCGACACTGTCGCTTGCTGGGGGGGGCCTTGGAGTGGGAGGCGGCGGCGGCGGCCTCGGTCAGGCTGAGGTCCTGCAACAGGCTGCTGATTGTGCTGGAAGTGGAGCCCACGTCCCAGTCCCAGTGGGCAGAACCTTTGTGGACCTCAGGCAGGACGTCCCACAGGCTCTCCAGGCTGGTCCCGACCGGGCTCTGCTGGATGGCACAGCTGTGACCCACCTCGTGCCATCTTCTGGTCTCTGTAACAACGAGGCCAGAACTTTAATTTTCTTAAAGAGAGCTACATTTCTCTCCAGCAAGTCAAATTTACACAACGATTTCCTGCAAGATAAAATTGAATTGCAACTTTTTAAGAGGGCAAATCTCTCCCAGAGGAACGGTAAACACCACAAGAATGGTTTTTGGCCTGAGGCTCTGAACTCTAACTGGACACAAGGAGAACATCAACATGGACGCCATCCATGAGACTGCTCCAGCATGGGTTAGTGCACTGGTCCCCCGGATGTGAGGCTACTCACTGCTTCCTGTAAATGGCACTAAAAATAAATCCTGTCCAGTTTGTATGCACAGCTGACTGGAAAACCAAGAAAGCTCGATATCCAACTGGCTCAGTGCACTAAAGAAAATATCAACAACCATGATCCACTCTGAGATAAAAGTTAATCATAGTTAAAATTGTTCAAGTTGTGCATCCAACCAGCAGCTAACTGCTAACTGCTAACCCCCCTGGTTTTTTGGAACAACAACTCTCCGGTGTCTGAAAGCTTTGGTAACTGAGCTGACCGGTTGACTCTGAGTCAGTACCTACACATCGAGGCAACTTCCCACTCCTGGTATGCAGAAGGTCTATTCTTCTCTAGAGATAAAATCCCCAGAATACCATCTACGATACACAAAACAAAGAACAAAAGGCCTGCTGGTACTGTTGTGTTCTCCGACTCTGCCTTCATTTTACACTTCCTGTGCCAAGTTACTGCGAGGGATGGGTACATTTAATCCTATGATGACGAGAAGGTAAAATACCAAGACGCTCACAGCAAGTAGAGGATAGACGCCCTTGAAATCGCAACCAGACTGGAGACGGCATGTCCACAGCCTTTAGGTGTGTAGGACTGCCATGAGATTCCCACTCATGATAAACTCCTAACATGCACCCACTTGAATACATTTAAGGCAAAACCACCTGTCAGGCGTGTTTTACATAAGTCTATGTAGCCTCAAAACGAACGGAGCAGCAACGGCTTGAAGCTATTCTGAAAATAATTCTGCTCGGTAATTTCACATTACAGCAGCCTCTTCCAAAGGGGGTCAAAACGGAACGATACTCAGAACCATTCGGACTATAATTATGTTATGTTTTAGATGGGCCGCTAGGACTGCATATCCACGGTTTGATGCATTTGTGACAATCTTGGTAATGCTCGATGCCAAATGCTTACCCATGAGTCCAAAAGAGAAAAGTGCCGCCCCCTGGCTCATGGTCTGTGCCTGTGGTGACACAGAGGAAGATCCACAGTAAGTTGGTCAAAATGCCACGGAAAGAAAATCAATGCAAGTCTGTGGTGGTAACAGTTGACAAATCTCCAAATGAGGATAAAAATAACACAAGACGCTGTAAAGGAAGCCATCTTACAAGCTAAATTGGTGCTGATGCAGCTGTTTGAGGAAATTCTTTCATCAATGCTTCTGATTGAGCATCTGATATTGCACGAAAGGGCTAACTCCACATTAAAGAGTCCCATTAGTCACTCACTGCTGGCAGAGGGAAAGTTTAACACTAGGAAATCCAAAGATACGAGAATTTTTGTAAACGCAGCCAGATTGGTCAGCACAGTCAAAGTGGAAAATACTCTATTGTCATTCTGGGGGAAGTGAAATGAAAAGAGAAAAAAAAAACGCGACAATGTGAACTCTTGTGAATGTTGGGGGCTGCTCTGAAACAATTACCACAAATAACACAGAAATGTCCCGCATTCATGGCATTCATGATCGTAAACATCCTCTTTGTTCCACTGACATCACTTCCTGTGGGTCAATAAAGCACCACATGTTCAGAACGGCGGAGAGTAAACTATCAGCTCAGTTGACAAATTTGGGAAAAAATCAAGTGGAGTCTTAAATAACTGATCAGGTGGCCGCAATACTTTGGAGCAGCACCTTGTCCCCTCCCTTGTCAAGCACAGTTGAAGCCTCTTGTCGAGGCCGCATGAACATGAAATGACACATTTCACACACACACACAAAAAACCTGCTTACACTAGTGGGAAAAACCTCTCACCGGGCTCAAGTCTGTACGTGTGGACGTTACATCGTCGGCACCCTTCTTTTCCAGTGTTTTCTTGTAAATGATCACCATTGCAACGCACATCTGTGTCCCAAGTTGTTCCAATAATGGCAATCTGAGCTGCAGGCCATTCTGACAGATGTGGTGTGAGCGGGCCGGTTTCTCATAAGCTTAAGATGGACTCCGTCAACTCCTCCAGGAATGTTCTTCACTCCTCGGCCGGATCCTGAATGGACACACGAAGATGAGCTCAGGATTAGAATTCAGTACATTTCTGACATTCTGTCGACCATATAAGCAGATGACAGAGATCAGATCCCTTCCATGAAAGCTCAGCAATGCATCATCAAATGCAGAAGATTATCAGAAGTTCCCTAAATGGAACTGAAAACTTTACTTAAAACTGCTTGAGTGTGGAATACGGCCCCACCGATGACATAAAAAGCATCCTGATAAATCTGTGGGAGGCTGAATTTTCAGTTTATGGGCACATTAGCACAGGCACTGCAATGTCCTGAGCTAAATACTAATGTCAATCCTGTCTTGTTTTGCACACTTACCACTGGCAAATGATCATTACGGAACTAGTTTTGCGTTCTTAAATCAATCCAAAATTATCTGACACTGTTTCAATGTATCCTGATCGGTCTTATTTTACAATAGGTATCGATACCAAAAATCTATGAGAAGAAAAACATAATTGCATAGCTGGTTTCATCTTGAATTTTATCGCCTTGCTGCAGGATTTATGTTTTTATAATCTTAGAATGATACATTTAGATCTTTATCTAATTGGCACCGAACTGAACAGTCACAGTCCCAAGTCCCATTTGTTAGCACGCAAAGTATAACTACGAAGGGAATGCTACCAGTGTGAACACATTCATTAGAAAATGTTAAAATCAAAACAGAATTTGATGCATAAAAGGAAAAACCGTTTCTTCTAAGAAGTTTGAAAATATGAAATGTTGCCTTCCATAAAACTGTATTTTTTCTCCATGGAGCATCAATATTACTTAAAAATCTCATGGCTGCCTATAAAGTACAGATTAGAAGGTTGGGTAGCAGATTTGAAAAGCTTAACCACCACAGAAAATACAAACTCTGAGAGCACTCATGACTGCAAACTGCCCGTCGAGCCATTACGCCCGGCTTTAAGTGCTATGAATTCAAGCTGATCTTCCTTTATAGAGAAGGTCAGAACCCATCAGAGATTCCTTTCATGCCCGCAGATGAATATTTAATACCAAAAAAAAAAGTAGCTTTCACCCACAAACACCCAGATTCTGTTCCAAAGCCCTCAAATGAGCATCCACACGAACAGACTTCAGAAATGATTTCATATTAACGGAGCTCAACGGTTTCCACAGTTTCTTTTTTCAGTGAAGCTGAAAGAGGAAACGGCCCTAGCACTCACGGAGGACGTCACTGTGTCCATCTGCAAGTTAAAAGTGGAATCGTGTTTTTACTTCCACATTGCGTCCTCTGGTGTGCCTACAAAAGTGGAACTCTATAGCTGGTTTTGGTCTTGCCGGCTCATGCAGAAAGGAGTGTGAGTTTCCTCAAATGTGTCCCACTCTGGAGAACATAGCGGAATCGAGCAAAGTCAAAGTTGTGTAATTGACTCCTCGGGGGCTGGCTGGGAATAGCTGACCTTGCGGTTACCAAAAAAAGAAAAAAAGAAAAAGAAATCTTTAAATTTATGCCGCACCGCCGTTACAGTAAAACTGCTGATTAACCAGAGATTTTAAATCTATACATTCATCACAGGACTTTACGACCAATGGATCAGCGACACCCAGGGCCATGCGGGGCAGGGGAACAGAGCAACGGGGACGCAGGGCTGTCGCATGATGCCTGCAAGGTCGGGGGGGGGGGGGGGGGGGGG